ATATGAATCTCTCTTGTCTGAGCCTTGCTACTGCTGTATATATCAGATAGTATTGCTGTCAACATGGCAATTGCTCCTTCCTGGGTGAGGAGGGTATGTGTTCTTTCCCAGTTATCAATCAGCAAGATGCTGAGTCAGCTTAGTAAATGCATAGTCCATTAAAATACTGCTCCATTATATTTCTGGACCAAATGTCAAGTTCATCCAGTTTCCTAGAAGAAGACTTCCCTCTAGTGACTAGAATGAGTCTTCAGAACAGTAATTTCCTTGAGTCCACACACTTAACCAAGCTCCTGACCCTTTAAATCCTTTTTAGTCCTCAGAGCCAATGTTGTGTGATCACAAGTGTTGTTGCCATGTGTATTTGTGGCACAAGACTAATTCAAGTACACTATGTTCACCAAAAACCTTTGTGTTCCTCAAGGGATTGCCAGGTGATCGTATTCACGCAGCAGGTGCAATTCAGTTCAAATATCCAAAGCCTTTTCACAATCTTTTTTCATTTTTTTGGAAGTTCCAGAGTGAAGTCATCATTGGTATGTGACAAACTTTGTCATGTCAACATTCCCCTCTTGTTCTTAGGTCTTCTCTTGTTCTCCTTTCCATTCCTTTTCATACCTTTAAAACTTAGCCTTAATATGGGATTAAAATATTTTAAAAACATTCTTAGTGGAGAACACAGGCAGCAACCTCCTTGACTTTGGCTGCAGCAACTTCTTGCTAGACACATCTCAGAGGCAAGAGAAACAAAAGCAAAAATGAACTATTGGGACTTCATCAAGATAAAAAACTTTTGCATAGCAAAAGAAACAGTCAACAAAACTAAAAAGTAACCTATGGAATGGGAGAAGATATTAGCAAATGTCTTATCAGATAAAGGGCTAGTATCCAAAATCTATAAAGAACTTATCAAACTCAATACCCCCAAAACAAAAAATCTAGCCAAGAAATGAGCAGGAGGGACACCTGGATGGCTCAGTCTGTTAACCATCTGCCTTCAGCTGAGGTCATGATCCCAGAGTCCTGGGATCGAGCCTCAAGTTGGGCTCCTTTCTCTCTCTCCCTCTGTCCCTCCCCCTACTTGTGCTTTCTTCCTTTCAAGTTAATAAATAAAATTTTAAAAAGAGAGAAATAGGCAGAAGATATGAACAGATAGTTCTCCAAAGAAGATGTATAAATGGCCAACAGTTACATGAGAAAAGGCTCAAAACATCACTCAGCATCAGGAAATGCAAATCAAAACCACAATAAGATACCACCTCATGCTGGTCAGAATGGTTAAAATGAACAACCCAGGAAACAACGGATGTTGTCAAGGGTGCAGAGAAAGGGGAACCCTCTTAGACTGTTGGTGGGAATGCAAATTGGTGCAGCCGTTCTGGAAAACAGTATGGAGATTCCTCAAAAAGTTAAAAATAGAGCTACCCTATGACCCAACAAATTATATTCCAACATATCGGCAGATGACAACAACATGCATCTCTCATACCCAGGTACTTGCTTTAACCAGGGTGTCATCCTGGTTTACAGAAACATAATGTAGTGGTTGTTAGTTGACAGTCACAGTATGCCCAGTGAGGTTCAAAGGTAGGAATCAAAATAATAAATGTAACATGTGACTAAAATGATATTTCTAACCTATGATGATCTAGGCAGTTCATCAAGGAACTCTGAGTGATGTCTTCTCTTCAGACAGTATATATAAGGTCTCAGAAAACTGGTTCAGCTATACTGCCCTCTAGAGGCATGTGGCAGGATTAGGCTTTCCAGAGCTGCTGCTTTTCATTTTTAGGAAGGAGTTGAATAGCAAAGGATGATGGGCCAATCTCTACCAGGAAAGAGAGAGGCATCACCTATGGTAAGTCTTAACTCAGCATCACTGAGTGAAATTACTATTCAGTCCATTTTTCCTTTAGGAGTATGCACAGGAAAATTTAGAGGAATGTAAGTAGAATTCTGAGCAGCAATGTCTCCTTCTATCTGGACTGCAGATAGTTGCCTTGGACTCAAGTCAAGTCAGTTGGATTCACAAGACACAGACATTTTGTAAGGTGGAGATGATTTTTGTGAGGTAATAGGTAACATCATCCCTGTCCCTCTCTTTCCCATCTCTGCACCTCCCTGAATTTCCAAAGATATTCTTCTTATACTGTACCTTAATTTCAGGTGAAGTACACATTTGCATGATATTAATCCATACTGTGCACCAGTGCTAATAGTCCCAAAGCCTTTGTTCATTATCTCTAGGTCATCCAACTTCTTTTAAAATTGAAGTACAGTTTACATATAGTAAAATAATGCAAATCGTAGGTCATCCAACTTCTTTTAAAATTGAAGTACAGTTTACATATAGTAAAATAATGCAAATCGTAAGTGTACAGCCTTTTACTGATGATTTGTTTATCTAATTCCTGTTGATGAACACTGGAGTTGTTTTTAGTTTGTTCTACTATGAATAAAGCTGCTGTGAATATTTTATACAAGATTTTTTATAGACAAATGGTTGTTGTATGTGTAATTTTATTAAGAATTGCCAAACTGTTTTCCAAAGTGATTACATAATTTCACATTCCCACCATCAATATATGAGAGTTTCAGTTGCTTCAAATCCTACAAAAATTTTGTATTGTCTTCTTAATTGTGGTCAGTCTATTGAGTGTTCAATGGTATCACATTGTGACTTGAACTTACGTTTCCCTGATAAGTAATGATGTTGAGTGTCTTTCATATGTGGTATTGTCCATTTGAATATTTTCTTTTGTAAAGTGTCTGCTCAATATTTTTGTTCACCTTTTTAAATTTTTTTAATTTATTAATTTAATTATTAATTAATTAATTAATTTATTTTTAAAATTTATTTTCAGCGTAACAGTATTCATTGCTTTTGCACCACACCCAGTGCTCCATGCAATCTGTGCCCTCTCAATACCCACCACCTGGTTCCCCCAACCTCCCACCCCCCGCCCCCTCAAACCCTTCAGATTGTTTTTCAGAGTCCATAGTCTCTCATGGTTCACCTCCTCTTCCAATTTCCCTCAACTCCCTTCTCCTCTCTAACTCCCCTTGTCCTCCATGCTATTTGTTATGCTCCACAAATAAGTGAATTTAAATTATATTAACTCACATATAGTGTATTATTAGCTTCAAAGGTAGAGTTAAGTGATTCATCAGTTGTATATAACGCCTAGTGATCATTACATCCTTAATGATCCTCCTTATGCAAATCCTCCTTAATGGGAATCATCCAGTTACCCCATACCCCACTCCTCTCCCCTCCAGCAACCCTCAGTATGTTTCCTATGGTTGAGAGTCTCTTGTGGTTTGTCTCCCTCTCTGATTTTTTCTTGTTTTATCTTCTCCCCTATTATTCTTATAAAAATATTTTATTATATTAATTATTTTAGCTTTGTTGAAGTCTTGAAATTTGGTAATGTGTTTCCTCCAACTGTGTGGTTTTTCTTCAAGATTGTCTTGGTTATTCCAGGGTGTTTTCATTTTCATTTAAATTTTAAAATGGGCTTGTCAATTTCCAAGGAAAATGACCAGGTTCCAGGGCTCAGGCTTGGAGTAAAGTGGGTAGAATCAGCATTTGCTCTCCCACAGCCCACAGTGGCAACCTGGTTTGGTGTAGGGTATCTGTTGACTGTGGTTAGGGGAGGAGGTCACAAAGGAACACAAATCACAATGACCTCCTCTTTTTCAACAAAAACACTTGATGCAGTAGGATGATGCAGATATATCTTTAAACTTTCACAAGTTTTGGTACCTAGAATGCTATATACTATCAAATTATAACTCAAGTGAAAGAACCAAATAATGACATGTTTCAGATAGGCATACATATAGAAAATTTCACCTCTTTGGACCTTACAAAGAAAGTCTTTCACCATTACATTAGTCATCTGATTTATCAAGAGGTTTATATTCCATGTGTTATTTTAAACAAATCAGAGATTATAAATGTGTTAATTGGAAATTCTCTCCCTCTCTCTCACCTACTGCACTGACTTTGCCCACATATATATTTATATAATCTTTAAGAACAATGAATTCAGTTTTATACTTGTTAAATATCTTCATTTTTCCACCTAATGGCTTTCAGGGGATAAACATCCATTTGATTCTTCCAACTTGCTGCATATTCTTACATGCTCTGTAGTTAATAATCATTTCTCCATTCTTTGTTGATAGGATTTTAAGTTGTCAATTTTTATGTGTCATAAATTTGGAATCACTGAAAAAATATATCTCAATATCCAGTATAGTATTTCCATAGGTTAGAATCCTAAGAGTAGGAGTTTCTAGAACTAAGTATTAATCACATATTTTTAAACACACAGCTTTAGAGATAGATGGAGGAAAGTTATCCCCATTGTGGAATGGATAACTTTCATGTAATCATCCTTGGTTCTTGTTCATTCTGGCCATTACCATTTTTATATTGTATGGTAAAAAGAAATAAGAGAAAATAAAAAAGAAATAAAACCACAATGAAACAATCAAGAATAGAAAGATAAGAGTAAGGCAAAAACTTAATTTTTAAGCAAGAAAAAATTTTATGAAAGAGAAAAATAAGGAATTATAAAAATCCTCAAAATGAGAAAAGTAGCTAAAATGTAATTCTTCTCCCCCCATTCTTTTTTCCTTAAAATGTTTGCAAAGATATTAAACAGCTATAAATTAGGTGGCTGTTTTTAGCAATATACTGAAATATGAAATGTTTTGGGGGGTAAGTCTTATAAAAGGAGAGCAATTCGTTCAGGATATATATATTGGAAAATGATTAGTTTAAAGCAGCATTTGGAGGATGGGAACATGATGAATCTTTGTGGGAAAATGGAGAAATAGTGAAGAAAATTATCATGATTTCAGCAGAGGCAGGGACCATAGGTCAGCTGTCATCAATGGATGTGAGCACAAGTTAACTTGCAACAGTTCAGTTTTCATGAAGATCTAGTAGAGACCAGATTTGCGTGGAGCAGATTACATGTGTGGGTTTGTCAAGAGGGTACTGCCTGGGACTTCCTCCTGCCCATCAGCTTCCTCAGGCCCTGTTTCAGGTCTTTGTTTCTCAGACTGTAGATAAAAGGGTTTAGCATGGAGGACAGAACTGTGTAGACAAGTGTTGCTATGTGGTCTCTGGTAGTGTAGGTGGACAGGGGCTGTAAATAGACATAGAAGATGCTTCCGTAAAAGAGAGCTACCACGGTGAGGTGAGAGCCACAGGTGGAGAAGGCTTTGCGTTTCCCAGCAGCTGAGGGGATCTTGAGAACTGCAATGAGGATTCGTAGATAAGAGAAAATAATGCACAGAAAGGGAGTCACCAAAACAACAGAACCTTCTGACAGTATCACAATTTCATTGGCAAAGGTGGGGGAGCATGACAACTTCATCAGAGGACTGAGGTCACAGAGGAAGTGATGGATGACATTGGAGTCACAGAAGATGAGGCGATTCAGCAGCAGTGTGTGTAGGAGTGAGTGGAGGTGAGGAAGTGAGAAGGAAAAGGCCACCAACAGGACACAGCGGTGGTGGTTCATGGTGGTGACATAGTGGAAGGGGTCACAGATGGCCACATAGCGGTCAAAGGCCATGACCGCCAGAAGGCAGCTGTCAGTGTTGCCCAGAGCATAAATGAAATACATCTGTGTCAGACACCCAGCATAGGAGATGGTCTTCTCTGACAGGAAGTTCACTAGCATCCTGGGGACAACGGTTGTTGTAAAGCAAATGTCAGTGAAGGACAGGAAACTCAAGAAGAAATACATGGGGGTCTGGAGCTGGGGGTCAGAGTGGATGGCCAGGATGATGAGTAGATTCCCGATTATGGTGACCAGGTACATGGTGAGGAAGAGGATAAAGAGGGATGTCTGGTCTTCAGGCCGGGAAGAGAGTCCCAGGAGAATGAACTCAGAGACACTGCTGGTTTGGTTGACTCTTGCCATTGGCTTGGGTCTAGTTCTATACACGATGTTTTGTTATTTACCTTACTCCAAGTCCACAACCCAGCAAGTCTTTGTTTTCTCTGGTCACAAATTAGCTGCTATGCAGGGGCCCTTGTCAATCTCCCTTGATGTGGTCCTCTGTTCCCAAATTCATGGCATCACAAAGACGTATAGTGAGGCTGGAGGGACAGAAGAAGAATTTTCCTTTAGAAACCATTAGAGATGGACCTCACTGATTCCAGTTCAGTAGTTCCTATTCTGTGAAAGTACTGCTCCCTTGCAGGAGAGTTAGCAACTAAAAACAGGCAGTTCCACTGTGTAGCTCATGTTCTAGGTGGGGAGACAGATCATCAACAAAGAGCATTAACTAGTACATAAAGGGTGGAGATGGTTGAGGAATGCATTTGCCAAAATAACCAACAGGGAAAATTTAAGGGGAATGTGAACCCATTTCAACAAAGTGGGCCTTTTTCCCTCTGAGGAGTCTGTGCAATCTTCCTTTTCCTATAAATTATTTTTCCTTTCTTTAGTATTTTGTCCTAAATCACATTTGTACAGGATGGGCATCCATTATTGAGTATTCAACTTATGCTTTATAATTCACCAGTCATATGTGTATGCAAAAATACTTATGAGAACACAGTAATTTTTTGTATATTAAGTGTTGATATACATATGCTTTTTTCCAGTCTTATGCAGTTACCTTGTGATTGACATCAGAGTGGCCTCATTTTCTTGCTACTAAAAAAAATTCTGTGGTGAGAGATCTTATATAAGCAAAATGTTTTAAATCAACTTTTTAGAGTCAGCATATCCATCTATACCTCATTAATGGACATATTACATAGAGATTTTCAAATGGTTTGAGATATTGCTTATTTATATATTCCTACTTGCCATAAAAATCTCTATAATGAACATACTTAAATCCTCAATGTGTTTGAAATAATTTTAAAAGCACCATATTCTTTCACACCTTTTCAATGATCTTTTTACATTGGAACTTTCATGGGTTAAATACTGTTATTCTAACTAATATGTTAATTCATTTAACATTAAAATATTAATAATTGATTAATTTAACAATTAAAATGCAGTAATTACATTAATAATTAAATGATGTCATGTGCATAACAGTGATTATGGTTAATAACAGTTTATTGCGTATTTGGAGGTTGCTAAGAAAGCAAATTGCAAAAGAATGCTTACATTTTATTTTATTTTATTTTTCTTTTGAGAGAGAGAGCATTCAAGAGTGAGAAGGAGAGCAGGGAAGGGGCAGAAGCAGAGGGAGAGAGAGAATCTAAAGCAAGCTCTATGCCCAGTGTGGAGCCTGAAGAGGGATCAATCCTATGACCCTGAGATCATGGCCAGAGACAAAATCAACAGTCAGATGCTTAAACAGCTGAGCTGCCCAGGTGCCCTGACTCAAGAGAAACTCTTGATCATCATAAGTCTCAGTGTCACCTTCGCTTATCTGCTGTGGCTGGTTGTCTCCAAAATCAATTAACTCACATGCTTAAAATATCCTTCTCACTGCCAAGTTGTCAGACTAATCTCATGGTTTTTGCAAGAACTTACAGAGGAAATGTTAGTTAATTCACTGCATGATTTGAGTGAACCAGTAGTTAAAGTTAATAACAATAACCAGTATCATTGAGAATTTTCTACATGTCAAGTTTGTGCTAAAGACCTCACAAATGCCATGATGAGGGACCATGAAGCATGTGTTCTTAACAGGAGCCTGAGGCTTAGAGGTGCAGTGGTTTGCTCAGGGTCACCAAAGAAATGAATAGCAATCAGGATTTGAACTCCAAGCTGAATCACTCTGAGGCACATGCTCTTAACCCTTAGGCTACACCTCCTTATGTCTGTGTGTCTACATTTTGGGTCACAATCATACACGTGTTTGCTTCACAGTGGTCATTTCCAACATGACCACTCCTTCTATCCCTTAATTGACAAGTTTTCCTCTCCCATATTCAGAATCTTTCCTTGCAGTGGCTAGGGAGGTGCCTATCTTTCTGTGTTATACAGATGGAGGACTTGAAGTTTTGAACATCCATGACTAACTGGCCCAAACCAGGTGGAAAAAAATTGGTCATGCATGGCTGGGACATGTCCATGTGGAGTTGTGGTCAGTGCTGGGCAGTGTTCTGGATGGGGTTCGATTTGTCCTCTGTCACTTGTTCATAAGCTGATTCCTGATGTTTTATGAATAGCAAGTGAGATACCATGTCTGCAAAACAATTTGTCAAACAGATCAGTATTAAACAAGGAGCCATTTGTGAAAGGGTTGCCTGTGGAAACCAGAAATTATGGAAATTTGGGTTAATTAATGAGGTTGGGTGATCACCTATTCTGATGACTAGGAAAAAGGAAGGTTTTTGAATCTAAGAATCAGGAAGAAGAATTCCCAAAGCATAAGGGGAGTGGGTGAGGCTGGGAATACAATGGGTTGGTTTGTTTGTTTGTTTTTCTTTCCCTTTCCCTCTTTCTTTCTCCCTTCCTTTCTCTCTTTCTCTCATCTTCCTTCCTTCCTCCCTTTCTTCCTTCCTTCCCTTCCACCCTCCCTCCTTTTCTCTTTCTTTCTCTCTCTTCTTTTCTTTCTTTCTTCTCTTTCCTTCCTTCCTTCCTTCCTTCTTTCCTTCCTTCCTTCCCTCCTTCCTTCCTTCCTTCCTTCCTTCTTTCTTTCTTTTGTTCCCTTCCTTCCTTCATTCCCTCCTCCCTCCTTTTCTTTCTTTCTTTCTTTCTTTCTTTCTTTCTTTCTTTCTTTCTTTCTTTCTTTCCTTCCTTCCTTCCCTTCCCTTTTCTCTCTCTCTTTCTTCCCTTCCTTCTTTCCTACTTTCTTTCTTTCTATCTTCCTCCTTCATTTTCTCCCTCTCTCTCTTCCTTCCTTCTTCCCTCCCTCTTTCTCACTCCCTTTTTTCCTTCCTCCATTTCTTCCTTCCTCCCTCCCTCTCTCCCTTTCTTTTTTTCTTATTTTGTTTGTTTTTTTCTCTCCCTCTCTCTCTTCCTTCCTTCCTCCCTCCCTCTTACTCCCTCTCTCCCTTTCTTTCCTTCCTCCCTCCCTCTATCTTTCTTTCTTTCCTTCTTTCTTCCTCCCTCTCTCCCTCCTTCCCTTCCTCCTTCCCTTTTCTTTCTTTCTTTTCCTTCCTTCCTTCCTTCCTTCCTTCCTTCCTTCCTTCCTTCTTGATGGTGTTTTCCTTCCACCAAAGGCCACAGTGTAAACAGCCTAAGAGGTCAAAATGGATGGACTGAAAACTAAAAGCAAGATGGAGGTTTTAGTTGGACCCTATGACTACTTAATCCATGAAATATTTGAAGCTATCAGGGAGGAAAGTGTAGGTGCCAGAGGTTGGAGGAGCCAAGCAGGTGGTTAGTTTACTGAAGCTCACCTCCACATCCAGATGCTGTTCTTTCCTTCCCACCAGAAGCTGGTCTTCACCACACCTGCTACTCAGCTGCCAGTCTGCTTCTCAGCCAAGCACAGCCCCCTCATGTGTCTCCCATGACATTCTGGGCTGAAGAACAAGGAGAAGAATAGGAAAGGCAGGGAAACAGATATGTTACTTGAAAAGGATAGCACGTTTCCCTTCACTGGCCCCCAACACCTCATGTCTGGTCCCCAGCATGCTGCTGCTTTCCCAGCTCTCCATCTCAGAAAGCAGAGAAGTCCTGACTCAAGGGACAAGGACCTTCTTGATTGTGAAAGCCTAGGCAGCATCTCCTGAGTCTGAGCTCCACTCTGTTGGCCTCGGGGGTCCTTGTTAGGCTGAAGAAGTTGTGGTTTGATGATCTCTCCAGGGAGCTGGTCATGTAATCATTCTAAGCAGAGTAAGTAGACTGGGAATCACACCTAGCAGGGCTGACTCCAGGGGATAGAGGAGCCCCAACGCTTCCTGTTTCAGTGTTGGGACTCATTCCAGAGCTTCTTAACCTCAGTGCAACCACCTTTAGGTGTAAGGTTAGCTTGTGTATTTGAGACCTTTCTAGGTTTTTTTTGGGGGTGGGGTGGGTGAAGGCTTATATTGCTATGTAGTTCCCTCTTAGGACTCTTAGGTTTGAATAGTTATGTTCCCATTTTCATTTGTTTCCATGAGTTTTTTTTTTAATTCTTTAATTCTGTATTTCCTGGTAGACCCATCCTACTAAAGAATGGATGCTCATTAACCTCCCAAGTGTTTGAGTTCAGTCCAAATTTCCTCTTGTGATTGAGATCAAGTTTCAAAGCATTGGGATCTGAAAATATGCAAGGAATAATCCCAATCTTTTGGTACCATTTGAGACCTGATTTGTGACCCAGTGTGTGATCTATTCTGGAGAATGTTCCATGTGCACTCAAGAAGAATGTTTATTTTTCTGTTTAGGAGGAAGGCTCTGTATATATTTCTGAAGTCCATCTAGTTCAGTGTGTCATTCAAAGCCCTTGTTTCCTTTTTGGTCTTCTGCTTAGATGATCTGTCCATTGCTGAGTAGGGTGTTAAATTCCCCTACTATTATTGTATTATTATCAATGTGTTTCTTTAATTTTGTTATTAATTGGTTTATATAATTGGCTGCTCCCAAGGAAGAAGCATAAATATTTACAATTGTTAGCTATTATTATTATTTTCAGTTAGACCAAGCTAACCTTACAGTTAGCACAAGCTAACCTTACACCTAAAGGACCTGGAGAAAGAACAGCAAATAAAACGTAAACCAAGCAGAAGAAGAGAAATAATAAAGATTAGTGCAGAAATTCAATGAAATAGGATCCAGAAAAACAGAATATATCAATGAAACTAGAAGCTGATTCCTTGAAAGAATTAATAAGATTGATAAATCTCTGGCCAGAATTATCCAAAGGAAAATGGAAAGGACCCAAATCAATAAAATCATGAATGAAAAGTGAGAGATCATGACTAACGCCAAGGACATCGAAACAATTTTTAGAAATTACTACCAGCAACTACATGCCAACAAATTAAGCAACCTGGAAGGAATGGATTCATTCCTGGGAA